GCTTTGTCATTGTTGATGATTATTCTAGATATACTTGGGTGCACATAATCCTCTACAAGACTGAAGTGCAGGATGTCTTCAGACGCTTCGCCAATCGAGCAATGAACAACTATGGCGCCAAGATAAAGCACATGAGAAATGACAATGGCACTGAATTCAAGAACACAGGCCTTGATACATATCTTGATACTTTGGGCATCACACATGAATTCTCAGCTCCGTACACGCCACAGCAGAATGGCATCATCGAACGCAAGAACAGAACACTCATTGAGATGGCCCGGACGATGCTAGATGAATACAAGACTCCAAGAAAATTCTGGCCTGAAGCCATTGATGTTGCATGCCATACAATCAATCGTGTTTATCTTCACAAGCTTCTGAACAAGACATCTTATGAGCTCCTTATTGGCAAGAAGCCAAATGTCAGTTAGTTCAGAGTATTTGGCGCCAGGTGCTGGATCAAGGAGCCACATCACACTTCAAAATTTGCACCAAAAGCACATGAGGGTTTTATGCTTGGATATGGAAAGGATTCGCACTCCTACAGAGTCTTCAATCTCTTTCATTATAAAGTGGTTGAAACAGTGGATGTGCGGTTTGATGAGACTAACGGTTCACAAAGAGAGCACCTGCCAATTGTGCTAGATGAAGTTCCATCCAGCGAATCAATCAAGCTAATGGGAACTGGAGAAATCATACCCTCTGAAGCTCAACCTGAAGAGGAACTTATCATCTCTGCACCTGATCAACCTGAAGACAATGCTCAGCCTGAAGACAATCCTACTAACAATGACTGAAAGTGCGTTATATCGACTAGAGGGGGGTGAATAAGCGATTTTTATGAAAGTCTTCAAAACGTGGAAGTTATGAAGACAAACGATAGAAATAAACCTATTACCATGCAGCGGAAGGTAGACTACACTAGGCAAACCATAGTCAAGTATTCAATGGAGTGAAAGCACAATGACTAATAGCAGCAATGTAGTAAGGATCAAGTAGGAAGATATTATGAAGCCAAACAGAACACGCAGTCACTCAGTGAAGATAAAAGATAGTGCAATCATACAATGACTTCACAAGGACCAACAGTAAGTAAAGGTAAGGAAAGGATGAAACCAGTGACACGTTGAAGACAATGATTTGTTGGACCAGTTCCAGTTGTTGTGACAACTGTACGTCTGGTTAAGCAAATGCTCAGTACCGTTCTCTGAGAGGTGCCCAAGTAACATTCAGACTGAGGTCAAGAACATTTTGTTGGTGGAAACCTCTACGTTCGAAAGCAAATACCTGGGGCTACCAACGCCGGAGGGGAGAATGAAGGATGAGAACTTTCAACCCATCATGGAAAGGTTCATGAAGAGGTGCAACAATCGAAATGGCAGACATATGTCCTTTGCTGCGAAAGAAGTATACGTCAAATCAATAGTGCAAGCATTACCGACCTTCACCATGGGCGTGTTTAAAATGTCAGTTGGTTTCTGTGAGAAATATGAAAGATTAATAAGAGAATTCTGGTGGGGAGAAGAGGAGGGCCAGCGCAAAGTTCATTGGATGTCGTGGGACAAAATAACGAAACCAAAGAGAGGAGGAGGCATTGGGTTTAGGGATATGCACTTGTTTAACCAAGCACTGCTAGCCAGGCAAGGATGGAGACTGATCCAAACCCCTGATAGTTTGTGTGCTAGGGTTCTGAAATCGAAATATTATCTGAACGGAGAGCTGATAGATACGGTGTTTGCCGCTGATGCATCACAGTCTTGGAGAGGCATCGAATTTGGCCTTGAGCTGCTTAAGAAAGGGCTGATATGGCGGGTAGGAGATGGGAGGAGTATCCAAGTACAGAGGGACCAATGGATTCCGAGAAGAGAGGGCCTCAGAGCGGCCAACTTTACATGCAGATCTCGAATCCGGTGGGTGAATCAACTCATAGATCCGATATCAAAACAGTGGGACCAGGAGCTTATCCAGCGTATATTTAACCATTTTGATGCCTCTGAAATCCTCAAGATCAGAATACCAGAAGGGGAGGTGGCTGATTGCATTGCATGGCACTATGAGAAGTCATGTGTGTTTACGGTCAGGAGTGCTTACAAGCTAGCGACAAAGCTCAAGGGAATCGGACCTCAAAGTTCAAGCTCAATAGCTGAGATAGATGATCGCATCAGTTGGGACCTCATATGGAAAGCAGGTATACCGGAGAAGATTAAAATATTCGCCTGGAGGGTAGCGACTAATACATTAGCAACCAAGATGAACAAATGCAAACGTACTCTTGCCATTGATAATACCTGTAACATTTGTGGTAACGCAGAGGAGAACGAATATCACGCAGTGGTGGCCAAGAGAGGAGTTTTTCCGCTACACTGGGACAGACTGGCTCCAAAGCCTGTTAAATTCATGTGATGGAGTGACACGGAACAGAGTTCTTCTCCTGCTGTGCCGGGCATGGTACCTGCGCGACAACATAGTCCACGGAAGTGGCAAAGAGCATATATCGAGATCGGCCGCTTTTCTAGTTCAGTATGAGCAGGAGATTAATGCATCCCAAGATAAACTAAAACCTGGGAGCGCATTTGGATGCCAAACTTTGTTTGGGGACCAAGGGATTCAGTTGCCAATGCCTGTGTCGACAAGCTGGTTGCCACCGTCGGAGGGTGTTACTAAATTAAACACCGATGCGGCATTTGAGGCCGCCTCCGGAGCAAGTGCATGTGGAGCCATTGCTAGAAATGCCCAGGGTTTAATCCACTTCTCAATGGGATGCAAGCTAGATAATTGCTCGTCGGTGGAAGAGGCAGAGGGGGTTTCGCTACTGCATGGCCTTCAGGAACTAGCTAAGATCTACATGGGTCCGATCCAGGTAGAGGTGGACTGCTCGTCATTGGTCCCTGCGCTATCCCCAGGGTCCATGAATAGATCAAGCCTTTTCCCAATCATTGCTGAAATCCGATCAGTCCTGGCTGGATTCAGAGGCGTAGAAATTGGATGGATTAGTAGGACTGCAAACAAAGCAGGACACTGTCTTGCAGCACACGTGAGGACCCATGACAATTTTATTTTCTTTGGCTATGCTCCGAGTGAGCTACAGGATATTTGGTCAAACGAATGTAGTCCGGCTGTGTAACCCATTTGGGTTTTTCTCAAAAAAAAATCACAGTATGTTAAAAAGGGTCACATACATTATAAAAATTCAGCACATGTAGAAAAAGAAGTTCACCGTACACTTATTTTTTTTCAGTGAATATTAATAATATAAAAAATACCACTAAAAATATCAAATAATAGAAAGAAAAATAATGAAAGGAAAACTAGAAAGAAAAATTGAAAGCAAAAAACCAGAAGCAAATAAAAAAGAAACATCAGGTAGTAGGCACCCAACTCACTCGCCTGCGGGTGTTACCTCCACTAGTTGACACCTACGATGCGTCAATTACGATTCGCCGTTGATCTGTGCACGACCTGGATCGTGGCCATTGTTCGTTATGGAGTAGGCGTTTCGGAGGGGAGGGGAGTGGGGAGCCCAGTCCCATTTTCTGTAACTAGGCCTAAATTTTTGCCAGTATTGAGGTAGACAACAAGTTTTGATGCATTGGGCCTTCCCTTGACAGGCCTATTCGAGCCATGCACGAAATTTAGACCAGTCAACTGTTGAGTGTGGATAGTGGTAGCCACGAGAAGGAAGAGGGATGTCGTCGGCGCATCATCAACTTGATCAAACATCGTGCAAGTTTGTTCAATTGTACTCCCTCCGTTCTCAAATATAAATCTTTTTAGAGATTCAAATGTGGACTACATACAAGGGTGAATGCGCACTCTAAAATATGTCAATATGCATCCGTATATAGTTTTTACTGAAATCTCTAAAAAAACTTATATTTAGAAATGGAGGGAGTAGTTATAAATTTGAATGTCGTGCATCAAATATGGATGCAGATAAGCTAGCTAGGTTTTCCAATTCTCTTGCTCAAGGGAGACATGTTTGGTCGCTCCATCCCCATGATCCTCTTTATATACCATGACATGTGAACTATGATCAATAGTAAAACTTAGCGTTTCCCCTAGAAAAAAGGAATGTCGTCGGCGTCCGGTACCCCACTCTTCTTCTGTCTATCTGTCTATTAAAGAAAGACAGGAAAACATGCCGTCCGGGATAGCTTTAGCTGATTATATAGCTGTAAAGAAAAGCCACTCTGTCTAATCTGAAAACAAAGGAAAGCCACTGATATCGCGCCATAGTGGCGAGCACATCCCCGCATTTCTTCCGCATTTCTTCCGTTCGCACTCTGTTCGGAATTACTTGTCGCAAAAATGAATGTATCTAAATGTATTTTAGTTCTAGATACATCCATATTCAAGACAAGTAATTCCGAACGGAGGGAGTAGTTAACTAGTACTCTCTTCATTCAAAAAAACTTGTCCCAAACTTGTTTTTTAAATGAATGTATCTAATATCAAATTAGTGTTAGATACATCTATTTAAAAAATAAGCTTTTCCGAACGGAGGAAGTATCACAAACTAATCCTGGTTGATTAACCAAGTCCAGGTGTCCGTGCCGGCCGGCCAGACACCGCTCCTATAATCCAGCAGCACGACGTCGCTTTTTTCCTCCTTTTTTCTTCCAAAGCACGACGTGGCTAGTGGCTACCATCGTGGCACGGACACGCACCGAATCAGACAAGAAGATTGACAGGGGCAGGTGATCGCCCGGCCCGCGGGGCCCCAGCCCAACCCCTCCACTGCACTGCTGTATTGGGATCGGAGACTGTCGGCCCGCCGGTCCATGTGGTGCTGCCCGGACGGGCGCGGCATCGCGGTCACCTTCTCTGGCCCTGCCGCTCGCCTTCCCCGAGCCTCCTCCTCTCCTCCACGCGTGCGTGCATAAAACGCCCTCCGCACCGCGACTCACGGCGCCTGCTCCCCGCGCGCACCAGCACATCCAGCTCCCCGAATCGCGCCGGGACGCACACGGGCAGACACACGAACCGGACCGGACGAAATGGCGACGCTCTCCGTCCCCGCCGCCGTCCCGGCCGTCGCCGAGGACTGCGAGCAGCTGCGCAAGGCGTTCGCGGGGTGGGGCACCAATGAGCGCCTCATCGTCTCCATCCTGGCGCACCGCGACGCCGCGCAGCGCCGCGCCATCCGCCGCGCCTACGCCGAGGCCTACGGCGAGGAGCTGCTCCGCGCCATCGGCGACGAGATCCACGGCAAGTTCGAGGTAAACATCTTATACTCCTACTGGGTCTCTTTCTCGCCTGATCCGGCTGACGACGGTCGTGTTCTCCTGCAGAGGGCGGTGATCCAGTGGACGCTGGACCCGGCGGAGCGGGACGCGGAGCTGGCCAACGAGGAGGCCAAGAAGTGGCAGCCGGGGGGCCGCGCGCTCGTCGAGATCGCCTGCGCGCGCACCCCCGCGCAGCTCTTCGCCGCCAAGCAGGCCTACCACGACCGCTTCAAGCGCTCGCTCGAGGAGGACGTCGCCGCGCACGTCACCGGCGACTTCCGCAAGGTCAGTCGGTCACACGCACCTCTCCTCTCTTCGATCCATCGTCCGCGCTCCAGAAAACGCGGATCTCGATCCGTCCAAATGCGTATCTCTGCCCAAATCTACAAAATCTCACAGACATCATGACAGAACGGCGAAATGCCAATGATATCCTTCCCAGCTCCCGGTCCGTTAATATGTGAATCTTCGATCATTATCATGCGACGTAACTTGATCATGTTATATGCTTTGTTATATATTCACGAAATGTTTTTCTTTCCTGTTACATCCCACACTTTTGGTGTCATGATTAGACAGCACTTAGGGACACTTTACACTCTGTTATTCTTCAGTTAAGCTATCATGATGTACTATCTCCTGTTTTCCCGACGTGATACTTATCCAGATCTAATAAGACGATTCCAATTCTGAGATACTCCTCCTTAATTGCTGCTAATGAACACCAACAGTCCCTAATTAAGGTAATGATATTTCTTCATCTCAGCTTTTGGTGCCTCTTGTAAGCGCATACCGCTACGATGGCCCGGAGGTGAACACATCGTTGGCACACTCTGAAGCCAAATTACTCAACGGAAAGATCAACGAGAAGGCCTACAGCGATGATGAGGTCGTCAGGATTCTCACCACAAGGAGCAAGGCTCAGCTACTTGCAACATTCAACAGCTACAATGATCAGTTCAGTCACCCCATCACCAAGGTAAAATTACAACTATTCACCTCCTTGCTTACTCGCAGTTTCCTTTTTTTTCCATTCGAAGACAAACACACATCTTACTACTAGAACACTTATCTATGTTGCGCGTTTGAGTTGAACTATGTCATATAGTACTAATGATGAAATTGGGTAGGCACTGGTAAAAGAAATCTGATTCAACTGATCTATTGCGTTCATTAAGACACTTATACTGCTCAAAATTATCGAAAACCAAATGATTATACGTCGATAGAAGAGTAGTTCTTTACACTTGTTTCAGGAGACATTGTTTTGTTGTTCATACTGATGTATTTTGCTGATCACTAACAGGACCTCAAGGAAGACCCAAAGAACGAGTTCCTGTCAACCCTCAGGGCGATCATAAGGTGTTTCACCTGTCCTGACAGATACTTTGAGAAGGTCGTCCGGTTGGCCCTTGGAGGCGTCGGCACAGACGAGGACACCCTTACGAGGGTCATAACCACTCGCGCTGAGGTGGACCTGAAGGTGATAAAGGAGGCGTACCAGAAGAGGAACAGCGTCCCGCTGGAGAAGGCTGTTTCCAAGGAAACAAGCAGAGACTATGAAGATATGATGCTTGCACTTCTGGGGGCAGAGTACTGAGGCATGTGCCTGATCTACCATATGCTTGATGATGGGGGAATAAGAGTGCATAAAACTGTCGAGTGTGTTGTTTTTCATGGATGATTATAAGTTAGCCTGCATGGCAGTACTCGTCCGATGAATTATATCATTTCGTCATTTGAGCTGCAGAAATATCATTAGTGTTTTTTGAAGTTTACTCCAGATTCAGAATAACCATTTGCATTGGTGTTATTTTTCGTAGGATGCTCACGTCTATACAGAATAATCATTTGTTTCTACTGGTATAATTTATGATTACAATTGCTAGCTGAAGTAGCTAGATGGGAGTGGAATGACCTTGGCCAATTTAAATGGTACCCCAAACTATAAAATCAGATATCATACCCCTGAACCCCTAAAACCCAACTGGCTGATTATACCCCCTCCTTTCCTAAATATAAGTCTTTCTAGAGATTCCAATTGTGACTACATACGGAGCAAAATGAGTGAATGTACACTCTAAAATATGTCTATAAATGCCTATGTAGTTTTTATTGAAATCTCTAAAAAGACTTATAGGAACGGAGGAAGTAGATAGTAGGGGTGCACACAGATGGAGAAATATTGCTAATCTCTCCTATCCTCCGCATAATGCTCATCTCACCCTATTTTGCATTTCCTTCTTCTAAAAGCCAAGTCTTGCACATGCAGTGCTGAATACCCATTCCGAGAACACGGTTTCCTGATCACCATTTTCGTTTCCAGGGATCTAAACCTACGTTCTTTTATCCAACTATTATTAATGAGCTACCTGAAGACATCACAAAGGATAGTAATCCCTTCACATCAGGGAACAGTGAGCAGCTATGTAGTATGTACCTTATGAAATACTGCCTCCATTCACAATTTTTTTTTGAATCAGATGTATATAGACACGTTTTACTGTGTTTGTTTACCCATTTCAGTCCGTATTTAGTCCATATTGAAATATAAAAGAATATCTATATTAGTGAACGGAGGGAGTATATCTTTACACCGGTGAACTGCTCGTGTCAGGAGTAACTATGATTTTTTGTGAACATAATTAGGCCTAGTATTTTGCAAATGCATGGCCTGATGGAGAGGCCCAGTCTCAGTCTAGACAACACTCGCCCTGCTGTTGCAAGAAAAGGCTTAGCAACAGAGTATGTACGGTACAGTAGTCTTTTTTTCTGATCAGATGAAAACAGAACGAGATTCTCAAAAAGAAAGAGAAAAGATGAAAACAGAACGAGATCTCTGACCCAGTGATTACAAGTCAGGGGCTACAGTAGTCCTAACCCTCGGATGATTTCTAGCGATTGGATCTACAATGGGCTAGCCAGATTGGGCGCTAAAGTGCATTCTATAATTCACGACACAGTAGCAGCCTCAAGTTAGCGCAATGAGAAAACAAGAGAACAAAAATGTGTACTGACACTCTTTGCCACATGTAGTGTGTGGCGCAATGGAGCTCAGACTCACATGAGCTCTTTATAGAATATCAAAAGTGTGTTTGCAACAATGTCGAAGGGAATGGAAATATTCGAACATCAAGTATCACTGCTCCATGTATGGAAGTGACAATATCGGACCTTCACAATGCCGCATGCCGACGATGATGCCGCTGACTTCTCCTCCGAGCTCGCAGGTCTCTTTTCCTGAGGATAGTAGCTGTGCGCTCAGGCGGTTTATCATTCTCCATGTCGCTGTCTGGAGAACCCAGTATACAGGCCAGTGGGTCCTCCATGAGGTTCCCAAATGATCCCTACAAACATGAAGAGAAGAATGATGTTGCTTTGATTTGCTTCGGTAGTATGGATGCAAAAAAGGCATAAACTTTTGCAAGCAAAAGGATGCATAGATTTCCCTCCATAAAACAAGGATGCCTCTTTATGTTCTGAGTTCTTAAAACCCGCAAGATCAGTTGTAAGTCGCATTTTTTACCGTTGTCTGGACAGACATTGTTTTGTCCTTATCCACTGAGTTGTTTGCTTCAATCTCCTTCATCCTTTCCAGATAGGTGCTGTCAACATACGAGTAACGTTGGCGCCACCGGAAAAGTAATTTATCCTGGTATTGGTCAGTGTAGAGATTCTCGGCAAAGAAATGCTTTTTTACAGCTTCAACTGATAATTTTTCATCACTATGCTTAGTAAGTATTCTGCAAGTGAAACGAGCAGTTAGCTAGTACACTTGACACAGATTTTTTTTAGCTAATAGCTATTATGATTTAGCAAACCACACATATTAGCAAGCTCCATTTTCAAGCGCTCAAAGGGCTCCTCTTCACGGCCCAATATGTATAGGCTAGTTGCATGCAATGATTCATAATACATCATCTTCCCTGCAGTCAAACCAACACCTGGAATATTGCTCCATCAGATTAGCATCTCACTAAAAAAAAGTTTAATGCAAGCACAAGACCAAATACGACTCAATTCATCGAATAATTTTGAAGGTCGTGCCCAAGGTTTATTTCCCTAGACCTGTTTTCTGCCAGGCCAGGAGAAATATGCTAGCAGCTAGCAGGTTCAGTTTAATCTAAATTTTGAAAGACCATCTACTGCTGCAAGTATCTAACAGACTACATGCTTCCTCAATTACGCCAAGTTGTTTTTACAGTAAACATAGTGTACTTAAATGAACAAAACTGAGCATGGCTATTGTTCCACAGTAGCCAACATGTGCCCTTCCAATTGAATTTTGGAATATAAATAATGAAAGCAACCTTGCAGAAGTTCAATAACTAGTACATATCGTTAACGTGCCCTAAAAATTGTTTCTAATTCCCAGGCGAGCGCTAACTGGATATCAATTCAATTTTAACAATTCAAAGGAATGAAAAAACAATTATGTAACACTAGTTCTCAGCTAAATTGGCTGGAAAGTTGTATTGGCCTTGGAACAGGACATCTTTAATAACTTGGAAATATAAAGCTTGCATATGCATTTGCATGCCACTATTAATATACAAGGGCCAGTACCAGGTTCATAGTCTTACCAGCAGAAAAACCAAGCCTGAATAGTCGAGGCATAGGTTGACCCCCAACAATTTTATGTACTGCAAAAGAAGAAAATATATAAGCATGTGTGGTACCAACAGTAAACCTCTCCAAGGAAGCTCGACAGTTATGCAACTTTATTTTATACAAGAACCCATCATAGATAAATATTCCAGAAACTAAACAACAATGGTATATATGTGAAGGAGACAAGGTGTGGCGGGCAAACGTAAAAAGGAATATCAACATCCTTCATGAGTTGTTTAATGGGAACACATGATAATAGCATAAGAAAAACAGTGTGTACTGGTTATGAGAAAGGGGGAAATGATGATCTTCCCATTTGAACAGACACCATTCCTCGGAGGATACGCGGTCCTTTGGAAGGTTGGAAGAGGTCAAGAGGCTATTATTTCTTCGAAGAGAGAACTGCCATAGACATCAAGAAGGGACTGCCCTGGACTGGCTCTTGCATAGACATCAAGAAGGGACTCGGAACAGACAGTGCTCTAATTTGGTTCTAATAGCCGCAATTCACATCCTTTTAAAACACACGCAAATTTAAGCACCATTCTGTTAAGTGGATTCATAGCACAATTCTAAAGTATGAAGCAGCAATTTGATAGCAAATGGCATCACAGATCCACGAGAGAGTCACCTTGGCCAGAAGCGAACGCTCCAACGAGACTGACCACCGCAGAGGTCGCGGTGTAGCTCAGGTTCGAGAACAGCATGCAGGCCCGGAGCAGCGCGTCCTCCGTCTGGGTCACGTTGCCCTGAAGCAGCAGCAGCAGCAGCACACCCAGACCCACAAGATCAATAGGCCATCACCTCGAAGAAAAAAACAACAGTTGGGGCGGGGGGCGCCCCTTGCGAACCTTGGCCCGGATGGAGACCTCCAGCTCCCGCATCGCCTCTCCCTTCTGCAATCAGAGAGAGAGAAGAAACGCCCGTCATTCCTACGGCGACCGGCGCCGAGAAGGAGGAAAGGAGACCTTGAAAGGAGCAGGAAGGGAATTTATGGGGAAGATCCGGCGAACCTTGCCCATCACTTGCCCCCACATGCCCTTCAACGTCGTCGCCATCTCCGCGCCGCGCGGCGCCTTTTTGCTCTAGGGGTCCGGGAAGGAAGACGGGAAGAGGAACCGAGGAAGAAGAAGCATATTGGGATTTAATTAGGACTAAAAAAACTAATCTACACGGGCCGAGGTTATTGGATC